CCATGTTTTTAATTAGCCGCCACACACGGACGTCAAATACAAAGCTAAATACAGAAAGCATGTCAGCCAAACAAAAGGACATGATAAACGTTTGTGTAGGAATACAAAAAAAAAGGAAGCAAATGAAAAAAAAAAAAAACAAAGGCTGCGAATGTTTGCCAGTATGTATGTATGTATATATGCTTAAAACCCTATTACCATGGTAATCCTTTTGACAAATGAATTTTAACATGCCCTCGCACACACACACACACACACACAGACACATACACATACCTTTGCATGGACAACTCAATGTCAGTTGGCCCAGTGCTAGACGCTACGCGAAAAATTATGCTATGCGTCTGTCTGTGTATGTGTGTGTGCCCGAGTATGTGAGTGAGTGAGGGAAAGTGTGCGCTCATGCGCATATGTCTAGCTCACATGCATGTAAATATGCCTACGCACACGTGAATGTGCATAACTAACGACACTCAACTGCGATCCGATTTGTTAAAGAGTTGAAAAATAACAAAAGAACTGAGTTTAAACAATTCAATTAAAGAAGTCTAGGGCATTCAAATTTATGAGTCTTTCTAAGGAACTAAGGTTTATCATAAGTTTTATCACATACATAAGCAGGCGTAAATATGTAGTATTATTCTAGATACCAAACTGAAACCAACTTGCTAGCTTGCTGTGTGTTTCTAAGCGATTCTTAAAATTGTATAGTAGGGCTCTTATATTATAGAATTATTTATAAAATCCGTTACGAAGAGGAACGTGTATAACAAATATTTTCTCATATGCTATTATATTTTTATGATGAAACTTACATCTATACGCCCATACGATGGCTAGTCTGCCTCTCTTTCTCTAACTATCCTCTTTCTTATTTTCCATCTCTTGATTACCTACTTACTCTATCTTTCCATCTCCTGTCGTTTTTTCTCTTTCCCTCTCGCTGCCTAGATCACGCTCTCTCTTTCCCTTTGTGCTCTCTCTCTCTCTCTCTCTCTCTATCTATCTCTCTGACTGTCTCCCTCTCACTGTCTTTATCTGCCTTCACCCCTCCTCTGCATTGCTAATCTCTTTTTCTCTCTCTCTCACTACCTCTCTCTTTACTCTCACAACTTCTTATAAAAAGCTAAACAATTTATCAGTTCTTCATTTTTTTGTCTCTTAGGGAATACCCTATCTAAGTAATAAATCAACTGCAATATAAATGTAATATAACAGTCATTATTATTATTTTCAAAATAATAAATAAAATAATTTAGGCAAAATTAATGACATTACCGTATTTAGGCTTCTCACATTCATTGCATTGGCCTCGGCAGTAAATTATTAACCAAATATTGAATCAGCAAATGGAGTTACGTTTGTGATCGGTTGGCAGGTGGCACATAGCAGCTGGAGAGCATACGGAGCAGGTCCTTTGATACCACACACACACACATAATATAGCACACGCGACCCCGCTATAAAAATTCAATAGTCCATGCGAGACTCGAAGCGGGAAGCTCTTTGAAATCATCTACATCATCAATTTTTGCTTAGTTTTTGCTCGAATTGGGGAGCGAAGCTTGGGCACGCACTTGGGTGCTCCCACGGCGGCCATAGAATCAACCAGTGCACACAGTGGGAAGCCAATTTCGGTAGCTTTTGCTTCAGCGTTTGCCCTGCCAACAGACTCGCAAATCGCATGCTTCGCTGCCAGATGCCTGGCAATAAAATATTCATTTACTTGACATTTGTTGTTGTTGTTGCTGTTGTTGCTGTTGCTTCACAGGATGCATCATTCAAGTCAAGTCCGTGGCACGCCCACCACAGCATCGGTTCAGCATTTGACACGCTTTTGGGACTCGCGCACACACACCGTCAACTTTTTGCACCCTTCATAAAAAATGTAATTTTCAAAAACATTTGGAAATTTGAAATTGAATTTGCCGCACGCTTGAAGTTCGCTGCTTTGGATCCTCCCAGCCCATTTCTGCCAATCTCCTCCATAACAACTGTATGCAAAGCATCTTCAAGATTACACGGAGGCCCAGCCAAGCCAGCTCCAATACATAAAAGACGAGCCACACTTTTAGGCTGGGGCTTTTGGGGGCTTAGTAGCAGGTGGCAGCTTTGCTGGCCTCTTCCGACCACCCCCAACCCCTGCCTCGACACTTTTTTTCTCTTTTTTTCTGCAGATATGTATGTGGAAAAGTGTAAGTGACATGAAAGGCGCACAAAGCGCAAAAACCTTTAATAACTTTACGCTCTTTGTTTTCAAGCACACTTTGGCAAGTAAGTGACTTTCATGCCCACCCCCCAACAGCCACCTCCTTTACGACTCTCAAAGGCTGCACAACTTCCGCTTTGAAGTTTGTGTCCTATGCGTTTCTTTTGACGCTCCATTTCAGCCCAAAAGCTAAAACTACATCCTTCCGAAAAGTAAACAAACCGAGCAACGCCTTTAAAAGAAGCTGCCCAAACGCATCCGCCGCTGCGCCTGCTTGCCCCATTCCAATGTATAATTTATGACCTATTTATTGTCAATAAATACAGCCTCATAGCGACCATTTTGTGCGCTGCGACTAAATAAAGACAAATGAGCCTTCAGTTTAGTGGGTGGATCGAGACATACTTTGAAATACACACTATACATACATATATACTTTGTATCCGCATAAAAAGCAATGGCAACTGAGGTATTCATCACACAGGCCAAATGGGCAGTTTTTATACCCTGCACCCATTGAAATTGGAAAATACGGGTATAATGGTCTTGTCAAAGCGTGTGTAACAGGCACAAGAAGGGATGACAGACCCCTTCAAGTAAACATATATTCTTGATTGCACCACGTACCTATACGAGTTAGGGCCTTGAACAGACTGAGCTTTTTTCAATTAATCTCTTACTATTGATTAGAACCGTTTTAAAAACTATTATTATGGTAAAACTCTCTCACCTCAGGAACTATCCAAACTTTGCATTTAAAGTCATAGAAATGGTTATGTTATAAATTAAAATCCGTTCATTCAGTACTTTTTTTTAATTCTACAAATTTTTAATATTTCAAAATTTTGGTTTTCTTATTGTCTTTAAGCAAAAATTATGGCTGCGTTGGCCATTTTAATAAAGCTAATCGGCCTGATATGCGTATTTTTATTGATGAGTGGAGGTAAGCCAGTAACACTAATATAAATGCGTCGGAGTTGCCCGACTAGGAAGGAATCATCCATAATATACTCCATAAATTGTATCTATCCGTATCAATCTTCGCTTATTTTTAAAGCCGAAGCTAATAAACAACCTGCACCTGGTAAAAAGCCTCCCGCCTCTACAATAAAAAAGCTCACCATTGAGCAGGTTCCATATTTGGCAACATTACGCAGTGGTTCTAGAGAGTCCAGTAGAGCTAGCACTGGATATTTGTGTGTGGCGACTATTATTCATAAACGTGTGCTTGTCACACCAGCTGTATGTATATATGGGTGGGTACAACTGACTGAAAGTGTTCGCTGTTATTATGAGTTTGTATTCTACAGACAAAAACGAAAAGATTTGGTGGTTGTAGTGGGGAATACGTTTATTAGAGGTGTAAGTCCCACAATGAAAGTGTTGGATATCGAAACTTGGAGATGGCATGCATTGTATAAATTTGGGGGAATGGCATACAATATTGGATTGGTCTTCACGGATAAAGATATGACGTCCAAATATGGGGCTATTGCATCTATAGCCATTAACAAGAGCAAATTAAGACCGCATACCAAATGTTTATATTGTGGATGGAGTAGGACTTCTATTGTAAGCACATTTATAATTGTATCCACTATATTGGTACATGTGTATCTATAACCAATCTTCTCTCATTTTTTTTTTTTTTTCCTTTAGAAATCGAAACAGATCGATAACCCTCCGCTGGGATTTTTTGTATGGAATACCTACAATGAAGATTGCTATAAGATCACTACCACGACTGGTTTAATGTGCTCCTATGTGCCAGGTATGGACGAATTTAAAAATAAAACTGAAGATCTTGGTAACCCGATAGTATGCAACGGTGTACTTTCTGGTGTATTCCTTGAAAGGCGTGGGGAGATCTCAGTATATATTGATATATATTTATATAGAAAATGGATAAACGGAGCCATTTACCTCCATTTCCATTCAGCCACTCCACCTCTTCGATCGATTTGCTGTCAATGGCTTTTTGCTTCGACCATTAGCATTTTTTTTATCTTCAGCTAAAAACGTGAATGTGTATGATTCCTATATATGATTTTAATTTTATTTTACATAAATAATTTTTTACTGTATCGTTAACAATCCTGTGCTATTTTTGAGTGAATGAATACACTTGTCTCAGACTTGTAGGACCATAAGAAATATAACTGCGCTGGTGTTTTGTTTTAGTATTGATCTATGCAAACATATGCTTCATGTATACACGGATTTGTTGTATGTTGTTTGAGGATCATCGGTGACCTCGCCTAAGTGCCACGAGAGAGAGAGATACGAGTACTTTTGTGGTGCTCGCAGCAAAGAGAGATTGCCCTGTGATTCTACTGATCTTTTGGCATATCGGCAGCCAGGCCTCACTCAAGAGCTTACACCACGAAGCATTCTCAGCGGCTACATGCTATAAAGGCTCCGACCACTTAGCCCTGGAGGATGATCAATGGAAAATACAAAATCAAAGTATACCGAAAAGTGACGAAACTCCAAACAAGTGAACAAAGGGCATTAAGATAGAAATTTTGTTAAAAAGACATTCAAAATATCCCAAGAGGCAAAAATTTTAGCAAGAAGATAAGTCCTAAGAAAAATCTAGGATTATCAGTCGTCACCATGTAGCAAAAGTCGCAAAGGAGTCTGAGATGCCTGTTCAGGAGCGAATCTCGCAAATCTTGAAGCTAGTTTCTGAACTTTTCATTTTTAATCAAATTTAATTTTTATTATGTTTTGAAATTCGTTTAGTCACTTTAGTCAGTAGAACTATTTTAATTCTGTATTTTTTAATTCATCAAAATTTTGGTTTTCTTGTTTTCATTTAATAAATATTATGGCTGCGTTAGCCATTTTAATGCAGCATATCAGCCTCATCTGCGTATCTTTACTGATAAAAGGAGGTAAGCCAAGGGCACTTAGAAATGTTTCGGGATTGCCCGACTAGTAGAGAATCTAACCCCGCCGATTGGCGGATTGTATTTTTGGATAACCATATGATATCAGAGATCCAAACAATATTTAATTGTTAATTTTTGACCGTTTGATGGGGACAGTCCACCCCTCTAAAAGAGAAATCTTTGTGTGTGCATAAAAACAACGTAGAATGATCGGATATCAGCTCTTTGCAGGAATGTTGACGTTAAGGAGTTTCCATATCTGGGCACCCTCCGAAATTTAAAAATGGAGTCTGAGGCAGCTGGCAGTGGATATGTATGTGCGGCGACTCTTATTCATAACCGTGTGTTTATCACATCCGGTGAATGTATACACGGGTATGTACCTACGGTGTGTACCTATTTGAATGTTTTTACTGATATTCTGAATTGATTTTCTGCAGGAAAAGACCAGAAGATCTGATAGTTGTAGTAGGGACTACGTTAATAAGGGGCTTACCTAAGACAATACTGGTACTGAGAATCGAATACATGAGACTGCATGGATTGTATGTGCATAAAAAGCATGATTACAATATTGGATTAATCTTCACCTCTGAGGATACACCACCCATTAAGAACGCAATTGGATATGCACCATTAAACAAGAAAAAGATACCACCTCATACCAGATGTCATATTATCGGCTGGGGTGTAGCTGCTGACGTAAGCATATTAACAATTATATCTCCTATATTATAACATGAACATAACATGAATCACTTGGATATTGATAAGTAAACCAATTCATTAACTTTTCCTACATTAGAATTTGCGGGACCGTCCAAAACTAATATCTAATTGGAGTGTCGGCCATCTTACGTGTTATAAGTCCACCGGTAATATTGGGTTGATATGCACCTACATATATAAGAGAGCTAATGCGGACCATTCTGATGCTGGTACCCCGCTAATATGCAATGATAAACTTGCGGGTGTATTCATCACTAGGGGCTCCTATAGATTTCATATATTTACAGATATTTATAAATTTAGAAAATGGATAAACGGAGCTATTTACATCCACTTCCACAGTGATACGCCAATGATCGAAGCCCCATTTAGCGAAGGATCGGTTTGCTGCCCGTGCCTAGTTGTTTTGGTATTTAGCATCTATTTGGTTATCTAATAGTCATCTATATTAGTTATCTGACACTCAAATCGCGAATGTGTGATTCCTATATGTGATTTTAACTTTAAATATATATATATATATATATTTGTTTTTTTTTTTTTTTTTTTTTTTTTTTTTTTTTCTTA